ACAGTCACACACATACACAGTCACACACGTACACACAGTCACACACACACACAGTCTCATACACACAGTCACACACACACACACATATATATACACAGTCACACACACACATATATATACACAGTCACACACACACACACAGTCACACATAAACACACACAGTCACACACACACACAGTCTCATACACACACAGACACACACACAAAATGATGGTCCATTTAGAGTCAAACAGACCATAAAGCAGGGGATGCTTTAGGGCGGGGCTACACAGTGATTGACAGGTCTCTGCCAGAGACGTTTAGTACAGAGTGTTTGTTACATGTGGTGTAATATAACCTGAACTGTGTGTGTGTGTGTGTGTGTGTCTCCAGACTTGTCCCGTAACCGTCTCTCTGAACTTCCTCTGGACGTCTGTGTCTTGGTGTCTCTGGAGAGTCTGAACCTTTATCAGAACTGTCTGAGGTCTCTACCTGAGAGTCTACTCAACCTGCAGGCCCTCACCTACCTGAACCTCAGGTAACACACACACACACACACACCTACCTGAACCTCAGGTAACACACACACACACACACACACAAAATATATACATGTATATTAGGGGTGCAACGGATCACAAACCTCACGGTTCGGTTCGGATCACGGTTCTTGAGTCACGGTTCGGATAATTTTTCAGATCAACAAAGAAAAGGGGAGGAGTCAAATATAACTTTGCTTTCCATTTATTAATTAAAGAACTTCAAGAACACTTATACTATAGTCTTACATAAAAACTAAAATATTGAAGATGTCCAATTTGAAACAAAATGAAATAAATAAATAAAAATAAAACATTCAAGAATATTAAATTCTGTTAAGTTGAAGTGTAACATGAGGTATGTTGATACTCTCGTCCTTTGATCAATATTGAAAGAAAGAAACAGCCAGTGAGCTAGCTTCCACTGTTTACACTGAACTGAACTGCTCGGCAACAACTTGGGTCTATGTTTACTTCCTGTCAGGTTATGTCATTCAAATACACAATGTTTACCATTATTTTCAAAAAGATGAGAATATCTCTATTGTCTGGAGAGAGGGTAGACCTTTCTGTGGTGACTGGGATATTACTATTGGGCCCGTCTAGCTTCCACTCTGATACTTCTGTCAGCACCTGCCCCAGCTGTGTGTCTGTGTGACTCTCACAGAGGGGGCGTGTCTGCAGCACCTGCCCCAGCTGTGTGTCTGTGTGACTCTCACAGAGGGGGCGTGTCTGCAGCACCGGACTATGAATCTCCACTCTGCCATGGTTAAAGCAGTCACAGTCCTTTCCTTCTCATAGAGGCCTGGAACAGCATCACACTGAAGTGGGTGCGTGAGTGGATTTCGTAGCGTGGCTCAAGCATTTTAACCAGATTTTGAAATCCTTTGTTTTCCACAACAGAGTGTCCCCAGTCGCTGACAGACGGGATGGTGTCTCTTCATATGTGTGGACATGCCGATGTATTGCTGTTATCGTATATCTTTCTCTTTAAATAACGCCTACATACGTAACGCTTTTGTCCAAAACCCTCATCCGTCATTATAAATTACAGGGAAGACAAAATGCTCCCAAACTTGCGACTTAAATGAGGCCGGGGGCTTCTCAAGTTCCTCCGCTCGCCATGACTTTCACCGTTAAATGCTTCTAACCTGCTCCGTTCACTGAATACACTACTGCTTTATATCTGTTCACGGACACTCTGCATTGATATTCGGGGACTTGTTACTTGAAAAGGAACAACAGCAGTAGAACTTTATTACACACTGTGATGATTACACTGTAAAAAAGAAAAGAAAAAAAATACTCAATTGATCCGCGGTTCACGAGTGATCCGAACCGTGAGGGCTGATCCGAACGGATCATGGGAGCAGTCATCCCATGTTCAGAGGATCACAGTAACATAATAGTGAATGAGTGAAGTCTGTCTCCAGAGACATCGCTACACACTGAGTCTCCTCCTTCAGCTGCTGCTCGTCTTAAAGCTTCACTTTTATCTTCAGGAAGTGAAGCTCACTGTGACATCAGGTGACTGACTCGGCCATTGAAGAAGATTCCTTTGTCTTGAGAAGCTCTTGTGTTGTGTTCACAGTATGTTTCAGATCATAATCCATCTGCACTGGGAATCAGTTCTGTATCATTAGTCTGAATCTGAGCAGATAGTTTAAACTCCTCAGAACTCATCTAACATCTGACATTTAGCTAAGCCTGTTCAGTTAGTCACAGTGTCTCCATTCAAATGAACTGACACTGAAAAACACTGTCCCCCATCTCCCTCTCTCCCCCTGTCTCCCTGTCTCCCTCCCTCTCCCCCCTGTCTCCCTCTCTCTCCCCCTCTCTCCCCCCTGTCTCCCTCTCTCTCCCACCTGTCTCCCTCCCTCTCCCCCCTGTCTCCCTCCCGCTCCCCCCTGTCTCCCTCCCTCTCCCCCCTGTCTCCCCCCTGTCTCCCTCTCTCTCCCCCTGTCTCCCTCTCTCTCTCTCCCCCTGTCTCCCTCTCTCTCTCCCCCTGTCTCCCTCTCTCTCCCCCCTGTCTCCCTCTCTCTTCCCCTGTCTCCCTCTCTCTTCCCCTGT